TCATAGTAGGGGCGACTTGGTGGCTCAGTCTGTTAAGCATCTGCCTTCGGCTCAGGGCTCCCTGCTCAGCAGATTGCCTGCTTCTCCCTCTGCCCCTCCCTCTGCCCCTCCCCCTGCTTGTGCACATGAGCTCTCTCTCAAATAAATAAATAAAATAAAATATTTTTTAAATGCTCATAGTCGTGGTTGTTGGAAAAAGAGAACCTGAATCATTTCAGTCTTGTTGCTTCACAGCAATAAAAAATAAGGCATTCTGAACTATATTTTGTTTTCATAATATCATGAATTGGAATGGACAACAGAGTAGTAGATCCTTCATAGTTCCAGGCTATGGATCACTTGAATGAGGCGAAAGGCTAGGGCATCACAGATTCACACTTGTCTCCACCCAAATCTACGGCCCCGTCCACAAAACTCCCCTTGGAGTCAATGTCTCATAGTCATTTCCACGTGTAGCCTGAGGCCAGAAGCTCCAGGGATAAGATCTTCCCGGGCTGCCACTGCCCAGGACTTCTGGGAGTGTGGGTGGGGGGATCTTTGTGAAGGAGACCCTCCCACCAGACAAAGAACTTCAGTCCTGGACCACCTAGCTTCGGCTGATTCAGGCCTTCTCCTTTCCCTGTCCAACCGACCTCCTTTGTGCTTGACTCCAGGCCCCCTCTCCATTTACGGCTGCCCGTACCTGCCCACTGAATTAGATGTAAAAATTGATTTTTTCCACTCTCTAGTCTCAGCTGGGTTTCCTGGCTGCCGATTTCCTCTCTCTTCCATCAGTTTATTCTTTGAACAGCTTTCCTGGCCATGAATCCCTTCCTGCTCTGCTCTGTCCCAGTCTCCCGCCCGACCACCCCTCTTGTTCTGCACTGGTCTCCCAGACAAGACCCAAGCCCACACCTGAGAATCGCTGTCCTCAAGCTCTGAGCCCTAAGCAGAGGCACTTTCTCAGTTTAAGAAGTGGGGCCCTAACAGATCTAGTCCCACAGCTCCAGATAGAGAACCAGGTTAGGGAGTCACTTACGTATTCACTGGTTCAATAAATACGGATTGGACATTTACTAGGCACTAGGCAAATTTGCCTCTGGAGAGGGCTTCGGCTATTACACGAAAAGCTCGGTAGAGGGCGCTCCTGTACTATAGCAGCTAAGCATGGGGGGTAGGGCACCTGAGCCCAGGGATCCAATCGGAAAACTCAAATAATCACGCATATTATACGCGGGCATGCAGGCACACGTGCCCACGTTCTGATATTTATCCTTAAACATATTCAACGGTGGATAGGACGCTTGCCTTTACAGGCCATGCTAGTACTCTTACGTAAGCAAACATAATATTCATTGCTCCACTCACCAGATCCGCTTAAAAGTTATTTTAATAGGTGGCACACTTCATTTCTAAACCCTTAAGGGAAAAACAAATATTTTAGGACACAATTTCAAAGTGACTGCTAAGTTACTGTATTCTGTTTACTTGACCTAACTGAGTCCTTTTCTGGGTGTAAAGTCACCTTGAGGCAGCAGGGAAGGGAGAGGAGCTGAAACGTCAGGCAAGACCCAAGTGCACGCTGCTTTTCGAGAAACGTCTTCTTCTGATTCATGAGCGTGAAGCAAGCGGCAGTGTGCTGCCAGTGTTTTCCACCCAGTGGAGTCCTTGCCCCTCGGGCAGTGGTCACTATTCAAACGACTACGTACGTTATAAAACCGGTGGCTTTACCGTTAGCAAAGCTGACATTTACTGAGCACGTACTATGTGCCGGGCGCTGTGCCAAACGCTTTAAAGTGTATTATTTTTTTGTTTCTTATTTAAATATTTATTGCATGTTATTTATTGCATGTGTTATTGTGTAAGACACAGTGTAGAGATGAGGAGCTTGAGAACAGCGAACGAGGGGTCGGCCTATGGCTAGAATGTGCAGGGAAATGCAGAGCGCCCAGCCCAGTCCCGCCTCGCCACTAGCCGTGATGGTACGTGCATGCAGAAGGAGACTCAATGTGGGCCTTGCATTTCTGACACAGTAGTAAACATGACTTCCCTTTACACAATTTCAGTGTTTTTCAACTTAAATCCGTATTTAAAAGAAAGTCACTAGCTGATCCAGCTGAATGACATTTTTATGTGTTAGAAGTTAAATTATCAACTGTAAAATCAACTTATCACCTGGTGAGTGAAATTAGAATGTAGAATGGCTGCTATTCCGTGACGGTGGGTTGCTGTTTAACGGCTCTGTTCTAGAAGGCTCTGTTCGTGTCTATTAATCTGCTTTTTCTACTGGACAGCAGACAGCCCTTTATGGCTAAACCCCACCATGGGGTGCGAGCGGTGGGGGCTGCAGTCAAACCCACTCTGGGCAGTAATTAGTGCAGCCTCAGGAAGACACATCAAATGTTTCACTAAGACGTTTCCTTCCTGCTACCCTTAACATCAAAGCAAGACCTGACTGGGGGTAGATGCAAGTAACAGAAAGGAGTCCTACGTTAAGAGCATTTGTGGAAGCTGGATCCAAAGGGTTTCCAAATGCCCAGGTCCCAGGCTACTAATCAAAGTCCTGTCTCGGGCCGGCCCCCAGCCTGTGCCTCGGGCAGAGAGCAAGGAGAGAGAAGAAACAATCTACGGAGCAGACCTTGAAGAGAGCCAAGAAAATCACTCCCCAAAGCACAAAATCCTGTCTTCCCAGGGTTCCCAATAACCAAATGACATTATTATAAACTACACTGATGTCTGTTACTTTTGCTTACTCACCAGTGTTCGCCCTTTTGGGAACAGATGCCTGATTATTCTTTGAGAACCACCCCTCCCCACTTCGAGCCCCTGGGCCACATCTATCGTCGTGCTCCAACCTCCTAGACAGCAGTCTTGACTCCAGAGTGAGCTAAACGGGCCAAAAGAATGTGTTTCCCGGGCTTTTGCTGCAGTTACTGGGAGAACTACACCTTTTTTTTCTTCTAGGATCTAAACCAAGGATGTGAGTCCAGGGGTGTCAGTAGGAAAAAGAATCAATACAGAGAAAAACAGAGGAGAGATGGAGGAAGGCCTGGTTTAAGACTTCTTTTGAGCTCCTGGATCTAGCCATACCTGAAGACAAGCCTAATCATCAACTTTTCAATTATGTCAGTGAATGTATTTCCATTTTGTCCAACCCAATGTGAGTTGAATTTCTGTCTTTTACAACTGGATTCAGGTTGCTTACAACTTCATTCCCCGTTAAAATAGCATGTGGATGGAGTGTGGAGTGAGGGAGAACAGGCAGGCCTTTGGCCCTGGGCATGAATACCATTGGGCTTGGAGCAGGTATCTACATCTAGGCTCCACCTTGTCAAAGTCCCAGGCACCGAGGCCTTGCTTTCCCCATCTGGACCTGCAAGGCCATTTCCAGCCTGACATTCCATGTCCAATCCCTGGACCCACTCTGGATGGCCCATGACCTCGACGGCTGCCGCCACCACGGGAATCCCAAAGATGGGATGGCTTGTCCTGCCTTCTTCCGATGTGGTCTTCTCACATGTTTCGGTACCAGCAAACTCATGTATTTTATCATAGCCTGTGAAAGGAAGGTAGTAAAGAAAAGCAGTTCTAGAAAATTTTGGTTTTGGAGTGGCTGGCTGGTTCAGTCGGAGGAGCATGCAACTCTTGATGTCTGGGTTGTAAGTTCGAGCCCCACGTTGGGTGTAGAGATAACTTAAAAATAAAATCTTAAAAAATAAAATGAAATTTGGGGTTTTATTCATAAATGTGATCATTTTCACCGTGTCCCTCTTGGCCCCATTCCTGTCTTTTCTGCCTAATAAGCTGGAGTTGGAAAGATGCTATGGGCCATCCAGCCACTGGCGGCCTCTGCAGAGCAGCTCTGCCCCTGGTCTGTTCGTCGCCCTAATGCACTCTCGGCTTCCTCCGCGCCCAGAGGACGTGCATTTGTTATGTGTTTCCAAACCAGAATAAAACCACCGAATTGGAGTGAGGGGAACGAGAAACCGGGGAAAGGGCACTGGTGTTTGTAACCCACGGTGCCACCTACTCCAGGCTCCGGACACATTTTGTTTCAGCGCCCAAGTGTGTCTGGAGCCCCAGAGGAAGGAGTGGTTCACCTGTGAGCAGGTGGTTCCTGATCAGGCCTCAAAGCAGAGTGGCAGACAGCGCTGGCCGATGATAAGGCTTGCTGGGGATGTCAGCATTGCTGGTGTAAACAAAATTAGGCCAGGGGGGCTGCCTGGGAAAGGTGAGTTGTCTAAGTTATTTGGGGTAGGAAGGCTTATGGCCTAGGATGCAGATGCCCGACCCCTTCTTCTTCACCGTAGCCACCACCAGGCTACAAAAGCTGGGCCTCCCCCCGGCGCTCCCTGAGCACAGGCCTGAGCTCCAAGCTCGGCCCTGGAGCCGGAGGTCGGGCAGGAAAGCCTGTCAGGGCATCGTGGAGGGCCAGGGTCCCCGGCACTGCCACGGGCGCCAGAGTGGGATGCGCCAGGGCTGGGTCAGGCGCGGGGTGCAGACTGGCGGCTCGCTGTGGCCTGCGCCTTCCTTTCCCCTGTCCTGGGGACCCGGCGGGGCACTTCCACGCCCACGCTGGGCGCTCCCCGGCCCCCACCGCCGCCCCTCTCTGGACTCAGGATTCCGGGCCGCGCCAGCGCCGGCCGAACGGGACCCCCCGCCCCCTCGGCCCCCGAACCCGCTCCCGCAGGCAGGCTGTGCGGCCCCGGCTCCGAGGCTGGGGGTTCCGGGGGCCTGGAGCTATTTTTATAAGACTCGTCAGCCCGCCGGGGAGGAAGAGCGGGGCCCGGGCCCATTGTCTGCGCGCCGCGCGGGAGGGGGCCGCGGAGGGCGATTTCGAACGCTCGGAAGGCGCGAAAGCGGCGCGCGCGGGCGGGGGGGTGCTCGCGGGGCGGGGCCGGGGGCGGGGCGGGGCGGTCCGGGGGCGGGGCCGGGGCCGGGGGCGGGGCCGGGGGGCGGGGCCGGGGGTGGGGCCGGGGCGGGGGCGGGGCCGGGCGCCCTCCCGCCGCTGCAGGCTGGCGGCGGCGGCGACAGAGCGGGGACTGCGGGGACAGCCAGGCGGCCGCGCCGGCAGCGACGCCCGGGGAAGCCCGCGCCCCGCCTGCGCCTCCGAGGCGTGCCCGGGAGCGGGAGCGGCCCAGCGGCCCGCGAAGGCAGAGGCGAGCGCCGGGCGCCGGGCGGCAGAGAGCCGGGCAGCGGCCGGAGGCAGCCGCAGAGCGAGCGGGGGCCGGCGGAGGGCGCCGGGCGCGAGCAAGCCGGCGCCGCGGCAGCGGAGGCGGCTTCGCGGGAGACAAAAGCCCGCCCGAGAGACGCGATGCCCGGCCGGCGCGGGCGCGGGGGCCGCGGCGTCTGAGCACCCCCCACGCCCCCGAGCCGTGCGCCCCGCGGACGCCGAGCCGGGCCGGTGCCCGCGGCGGAGGGCGACAGGGGCGGCCCAGGTGCGCCCGGCCGCGTCGGGCCCGTCACTGCTCGGGGGGCGGCGCCCTCCCGTCGCCGCCGCAGTGGCCGGCGCCGCAGCGAGGAGCCATGGGCAACATCTCCTCCAACATCTCGGCCTTCCAGTCCCTGCACATCGTCATGCTGGGCTTGGACTCGGCCGGCAAGACCACGGTGCTCTACCGGCTCAAGTTCAACGAGTTCGTGAACACGGTGCCCACCATCGGCTTCAACACGGAGAAGATCAAGCTGAGCAACGGCACGGCCAAGGGCATCAGCTGCCACTTCTGGGACGTAGGCGGCCAGGAGAAGCTGCGGCCGCTGTGGAAGTCCTACAGCCGCTGCACGGACGGCATCATCTACGTGGTGGACTCGGTGGACGTGGACCGGCTGGAGGAGGCCAAGACGGAGCTGCACAAGGTGACCAAGTTCGCCGAGAACCAGGGCACGCCGCTGCTGGTCATCGCCAACAAGCAGGACCTCCCCAAGTCGCTGCCGGTGGCCGAGATCGAGAAGCAGCTGGCGCTGCACGAGCTCATCCCGGCCACCACCTACCACGTCCAGCCGGCGTGCGCCATCATCGGCGAGGGCCTCACCGAGGGCATGGACAAGCTCTATGAGATGATCCTGAAACGCAGGAAGTCCCTCAAGCAGAAGAAGAAGCGGTAATGCGCCCGGCTCCGGTGGCGAGCGAGCGGGGAGCGAGCCGGGAGCGAGCCAGCGGGTCAGGGATGGATGGATGGACGGACGGATGGATGGATGGATGGATGGATGGGTGGATGAACGAGAATCTGCGCCCGCGAACAAAGACAGAGAACCAAAGCAATGCTTCGAATTTTTAAAACGGAATCTGTGCACCCAGACGCAGGACTAGTGACTTAACCTGGGTGTGTACGCTGACTTGCCAGCCTGCCCTCGATCCGCCCCCACCCCCAGCTCAGGGGACCTTTTGTCTGGATGCCAGAGCTACTACTAATGGGTGGGGGGCGCTGGGGAGTGGACGTGCCTGGCCTGCTGTCCGCCCTCCCGGCCCAGGTGGAAGGCTCAGATGTCAGAGACAAAAGCGATTTCTTCCTCCAGCGGGGCCAGAAGTTCAGGCTGCCCCGCCCTCACTGGGGGCTCCCACCTGTGAGTTACCGGAGGTATGCGGTTCCCAGAACCCTGGGAGTACCTATTTGGGGGCATGATGGCTGTGGGAGGTGCTGGGGGGGCGGGTAACTGCTGCCCCTTGCGTTCATGGGCTCTGGAAGCTGGATAATTTTATGTCACAGGGCAGGCCCCTGTTGAAATTTCATTTGTCCTGCTCTGGGCCCAAACGAGGTGGGGATTTGGGCCATGAGAGGACTGCCTGGAACAATACAGCAGCCCCAGAGCCCCGGGCGTTCCGCTGGCCTTGGCTGGTGAATGGCCGCGAAGATGCCCCTTTCCTGGTGCTTTATGGTGGCTACGGAAGACCAGTTCGATTGAGAACTGCTTTTCAGCCTGGAATCAGACATCTTCCAGAGGGTTTGGACACTGTCCATGTGTAGGTCATTATCACACAAAGAGACCAATAAAAATTTTAAAAAAAGAAACTGTCGGAGGTGGTGGCAAATGATGTATTTACTGTTTGCAGGATAGTTAAAGGTGTTTAAAGGGTAAGGCTCTTGGCGTAAATGCTGGTTGGGGTGTATGTGTAGATACAGGGACCTCCCTCTGTACTGTGTAATCGGCATAAATACCTAGACCCATATGTGTGGAATCTGAAAATCTCTTAGCCTACTGATTGGTTTGTGTAAGCACACCAGCTGCAGATGTGTGCTGAAATGCAAGATGGTTTTTGCCAGGGATGCCTCTTGTAATACTAACCGCCTGATGATGGGTTTTGGTTTTCAGACATGTTTTTAAAAAAATTCTACAAACGAATACTCACCTTGGAAATATTCACCTTAGGGGGGGGGGAAAGACTTTGCTCTGCCCTTTTAGATCCCTTTACGCTGCAAGTGGCAACATGTTCAGATTTCTAATTTGGTTCATTGTGGCCTATCTGGTTTAAGTATTTCATTAGAAATGTCTCGTTAGAGTATTTGATGTCATGCACCAAAAAGTAAAACCCCACCTTGTTGCAAAAGCCGACCTCGTTGCATGGATTTAAGAGCGAAGGAAAAGCACAAGGATGAGGTCCTTCCTAATCCATTCTTGTGGGAACTGGCCTTCGTAGCAAATGCAGACAATGAGTGCTTGAGATAAAAGAAAGCGTGTGATGTAATGATCACTGTACTCAGGCACTTCACAGTTTACTTGAAAGAGGCTTTGGAAAATAGATAAAGCAAAAGAAGAATAAATACATATTTTTAATAATGTAATTTAAAAATCCTTTATAATCAGGACTGAGTCTTGGTTTGCAGAAGATGTCATTTACCCTGAAACACAGTATCGAAAGGGAAACTTAACACTTAACTGTTTGATTTTTATTTCCTCTGAAAATTCATGTTTACAGGTAGAATTATGTGTATCGCCCCCTCCCCTCACTATGAGAAATTTCTTTTACGAAGGAGGCCTATAGAAATGGGGCATGATCATGCTTGGGCATGTGAGTTAGTCAAATTATAAATCCATGCCTATTGTCCATTGCACTCAGAAAGTTAATTTAAGAACCAGAGGTTGAAGTCCTGGCTTCCTGCTTGAAACCCAATTCTTATAGGAAATATTGGAAAAGAGGAAACCTAGCCCATCTTCCTTTTATCTTTTGTCGGTGAATTTGGTACCTCTCCAATGCTGGTCTTTTTGTAGGAACTCAGTAGAGAAAAGAGAGCTAACGAAGTGTGAAAGCCTGCAGGATTTCGGTTTACATATCGACAGCATAGTCACTGATTTCTAAATGGGCTGGTCCCATCATCTGAAGATTCTGTATAGAGTTATTAAAAAAAAAAATCCATCTTCCTTTATTTTCTTCACATGTAACAATTTCTTATGCACTTTGACATTTTGGTAGTTCCACACTATTGAGAGAATAATATATTTATTTTGTGACATTGCCAATGCCAAATACTGTCACCATCTCGTGCTAACCATACTTAGGTTCGAGATCACTGTTCAGATCCCGTCATGCTTAACCAACGAAGCGACATGATTTTGGGTTTTGCATTATCAAGACTTAAGGGTGCAGTCAGCTGTTCGTAATTGTGCAGTAAAGTAAAGCCCTGTGGTGTGTCCACTAATAGTTAAGAGTCTCAGTTGATTTCTGTCATGTTTGACCTAATAATAGCCCATTTTTGTCTCTGACCAAACAGAGGAAGCGCACATCAGATCACCTTGGAGTGGTCCTGGGGGAGTTCTCTCCTACATATCATCAGTGATTTATTATACCTCCTGGCCTTTGGAGAATGAATGGGTTTCACACCGAGGAAGTTGGCCTCCCCACGTGAGCTTTTGAAATTGTTTCTCATAGACACAGGGAGGCCGATTTTGTTTCAAACGGATTCTCTTCACAGATTCTCTGTCATGGTGTTGGGACGATGTCTCCTGGTTTCAGTTTTCGTTTCTACTGCTGTAATTCTCTGTCCTGAACATTCTTCTGTTCCTGTTCCCTTTTATATGCATATATGATGCTGTGAACAGAAATAAATTATTTATACAATCAAACGTGTGGGGAAGTTGTCTGGGTGGTTTTTTCGAGTTGCCCCTCTTTCTAGGCCTTCTTTGCTGAGTGAGGGAATGGCTCACGAGATGGTCTCTGGGGCCCTAATGGGGCTGGGCCAATCTCTGCTTTTCTGGCTGAAGCGTCTAGCTCTGCCCTGAGCCAAGGAGTGCGAGGGCTGGATGCCTGTCCCCCTGACAGGGTGCCTCTCCATGGTCCTCAGAGATCCTTCAGGAAGACGGCCTCGATGCCTCACCTGGCCTCAGCCTCCCAGTTATTAAAAAGGTCATGATTGGGCGCCTGGGTGGCTCAGTTGGTTAAGCGACTGCCTTCGGCTCAGGTCATGATCCTGGAGTCCCTGGATCGAGTCCCGCATCGGGCTCCCTGCTCGGCAGGGAGTCTGCTTCGTCCTCTGACCCTATCCCCTCTCATGTGTTCTCTCTCTCTCATTCTCTCTCTCTCAAATAAATAAATTAAAAAAAAAATCTTTAAAAAAAAAAAAAAAGGTCATGATTGGGGCGCCTGGCTGATTCAGTCCATAGAGCACGTGTCTCTTGCTCTCAGGGTCATGAGCTCAAGCCCCACACTGGGTGGAGAGCCTACCTTATGAAGAAAAGGTCATGACTGTTAATCACTTCCAAAATATTATAAGATTGTGTAAAATTGGAAGTAGCTGTGCGCTAATATAACAACAGTAGTCACAAAGCCGCTCACGGTCTTGGCTTCCTCTGCTCCCGTCCAGGCTAAACCATCAAGATATACAACAAGAATGAATGCAAGACTTGAGTCCTCTGACATAGTAGGCGCCATAAAACCATCCTGCTTTGTACGCGCTGTTGGGAAAAGGCCCACCCTCTGGAGAAAAAGTGATGGGGGCAGAATCAGGAGCACTCTGACAGGTTCAGTGCACACGCGCTCCTGGAGACACTCGGCAGATAGTTAGCAACAAAACCAGGTGCTGGCTGGGTCTCAGCTCTGGAGACAAAAGGATCCAGTTTCACATTCCAGCTCAAATGCTTAGGGCCCCATGATTTTACTCAACAGTCCTTAGCCTCTTGAGCCTCAATTTCCCCATATGTAAAATGGGATCATCATGGTTGCTGGGGAGGATATAACACACAATAATTCAGCGAGGTGCTCGCAAAGGGCCTGGCAGGGAACACGGGCTCTGCAGCTTTAGCTTTGATTATGGGCTGCCAGCAAACTGTGGAAGGAGTAATTCAACCTCACCACACGTCTTTGTGTGAGGTCCCTGCAATCTCCCTTTTAACCACACCTCTTGGTGTCCTTACCCTCTGAAACCAAGGCTGCAGACCCCAGGCCCAGGCCAGAATGGGGTCAAGCCAGCAGCTGTACATTCTAACACCATCTGGGCGTGTGGTCTTCCCTTCCAGAGCAGTGCGGGGCTGAGTGGGGGACTATGGAGTCCGTGGCTCAGACACCCCATCCCTCCAGCCTCTGAGCACCCCCCCAGAGTAAGGCATGGATCTTTGATAGCTGGTGGCCCCAAGTCACATCGAGCGTAGAATACGTGCTCAGTACCTATGGGCTGAAAGACTGAATTCTTGTGGGTTAGTTTCAGTCGTAAACTTTAAAATGGGCGTTATGCAAAATAAACGATTTCTCATGAAGTGTTTTAATTAAGTTGAAAATGGACAAAATATTAATATCTTCTTCAAGATCATGTCATGAGATGAATCATTGCTGTGACTTGGGAGAAGGACATTGGTACTCTTACACCTAATAAAACATTTATGAACCTAGTGGTTTTTATTTTTAAAAAATGAGCAAGGCTAGATTTGTATCATTCCCGTTGCTGTAGAAGCTGACGTTTAGGAGCCAGATGGCATCAGAATGGGCACAGGTGCCATTTCTAAGTCCCAAAACCTGAAAAATCTTGAAAAACTATTTGGGGGTCTGTGCTCTCCAGAGGACTAAAAATACTAGAAATCAGAAGAAGCCAAGACTGAAACCCTTATTTTATGGTACCAACATCACAGACTGTTCCGCTGTCCCATCTGTGGGGTAGCGAGGAGAGGCAAGTTATGTGCAAAGAGCAGAGATCTAAGGTGTGATGGTGTGAAAGAGGGAGGTGAGAACACACCCAGAACTTGACCCGCCGTCCAACTTAACAGCGCTTGGCCCGTGCTCTCCATTCCCAGCTCTGCCTCCGAGCGCTCAGCTGATGCCCATGACCGGCATTCGCCCGCCAGGAAACATGCTCTGCTGCGTCAGCTGACGTGAGAGCTTTTCTGTTCTCTCCTCGAACTTACACCCCTCGTCCATGGTCACTTCTCCTTAAACAGCCTTTTCCACCAGCTCCCCTGGCTTAGTTGAGACCTCTGAAGAATAGCATTCACGCAAGACATTGGACCACTTCATACATTTGTTCTGCACAACTTCTTATGGAGAATGGGGCCGCTTCCGTTTAGAGGAGATGGCAGACTGAGGGCTTCTGAGAAAGTGGCGTGTTGCTTCTTGGCCAAGATTAGAAGATGTGAGAATAAAAGAGCTATGTGGTTTAACCCCAGCTCGGGTTTCAGAACATGAAGTGGTCTTCTTCGAATGGTCCGACCTGTGGCACCGGGCATTAACTTCTCCTAATGAGAGCATCACAGCAGGTGCATTCTCCTCGGAGGGTGACAGCAAGCCATGGGAGAGAGAACCGAACCAGGTTATTTTTCAGAGGTTGCATTTGTACATAGGTTTGAGGGGACAAGCATCTCTTCGGCATTTATCCATTAAAATTACTGTAACATAGTCATGTGAAGTATTTCTGTCCCGCTCTATTTCTATTCCCGTTAGTCCTGCATCATCATCGTGACTATAGCCATCGCCAACCTTCACTGAGGGCTCACCGTGTGCAGGACTCCATAGCCACGCTAAGGGCTTGATGTGCTTGTTTTTTGTTTTTTTGTTTTTCTCCCAAGAGCACCAACAGATCAATTCATTAACAAATAAATGAATCACTTGATTGTATCTGCACTTACAGATGAGACGGAGGGGAAGAGATTCGAGAATGCCCTCTGAGCGCCGGGTGGAGCCCCAGGTCCCTGAGCCCCAGGGGCTGAGCTCCCGGTGGCCCCCAGTCTGCTGCTCCTGGAGTGGGAAGGCCAGCCATTGAAGGAAGCCAGGAATCTGATTTCAGGGAGTGGAGGATGGAGGCTGGTGTCCTGCCTGCAGGGCCACCCTCCTGCACCCTCCTGCCGGGGAGGGCCCTATCTCCACCCTGGCCCCAGAACTCACACCCACCACCACTGACATACCTGACCCCAAGCCCAGAGCCTTGCCTTCCCTCCCTCGAGAGCACAATCTAGGGTCTAGGAAAACACAAGCTCTCTGGTACCACGTTCTGTCCACGAATAATTTTATTTCCAGTATTTCCTTTCGAAAGACTGTTTGGGGGGTGCAATGCCTCCCCACTTCACACAGGGGCATTTACAGACCCTGGGGAGGGGGGGACATGGGGTATCAGTGTTCTTGCTTTGGAATGTGGTCTTGACATCGAACTCTCTACCAGAGTCCTTCGTGAGGCTGAGGATGCTGGCCCTGCCCGTCCGTCAGGGTGTTTTCAGAGATAAAATGAGATACTAGGTGGGAAAGCACCATGCACACGGCAGGTCCAGACGCGTGCCAGGTTGGCACAGCAGGCCTGGACTGTGGCCCCTTCTCTCCTGTGCCAACTCTAGCTTCCGGGACATTATGTTCCTCCTGTTGTTAGGGACAAGCTCAACTGCCCCCACGTTCCCTCTTCATTTTCGCTGATGAGAAAACATCCACCTCCAGAGTAAACCAAAGCAGACTTCCTGGAGGGAAACATCTCTCCTTGTGAGTTTCTGGACACAGAAACTTTAGCGCGAGTGTCCATTAAGTGACTCTTGAGGAAAATTAACCTCCTTATCGCTGTCCTTTGCAGGCTTCTCCTTCTAATGGCCACGCATGATTGTTATCACTCCTTAAACACCAACTCCCTGCTCAATTAATTTCAACTGCCCATGTCTCATAAAGCTAAAATGATTTCAATGTATAATTTAAAAGTCATCATGGTAAGTAATGACAACTGCGACGCTTATTTCATAAATATTTGAGCCCACTATTACACAGATGAACTTTTGCAGTGCTACGTAATTTGCAGTGTGCTGGGATGTCATATTCATCATGTAAAAAAGGCTGTTAAAAATATCTGCAAAGAGGGGCACCTGGCTGGCTCAGTCGGTAGAGCATGAGACTCTTAATCTCAGGGTTGTGAGCTGAAGCCCCATATTGGGTGTGGAGCCTACTTAAAAAAAAAAAAAAAAAAAAAAAAAAAAATATATATATATATATATATATATATATATATACACACACACACACACACACACATGCGCGCTCACGCACACACACACACACATATTTGGAAATAATTGTGACTCCTGTTATGCTGGGGACACTCCACTAGGCAGGTGTGCCAGGCAGACTTGGAACATGATCCTGGTCTTCAGATGGCTGACATTCTAGGTGGTAAATCAAGGCTAAAGTATCAAGTGAGGCGCTTGACTCCAGTGCTAAACTTTCCTGTTTCACCAAAAAGAAAGTCCTTAGTTCAACCAAGTTCACATTTTCCGTGCCACACTCGCCCTGGAGTAAAACATGTCACTCTGTCTTGGTGCGTACAATTTGCAGACCCCCGGTCTTCCCTGGATCCCCTTCTCCAGCTCTTCCTGAGATTTCCTTGGGACGGATGTGCTAACATCACTGTGCTAACAGTAACAGCCACTCTCCTCCACTTTCTCCTTTCCCACCCTGACCGCTCGTGGAAGTGTCCTTCTGGAAGCTGGGCTCAGCATGGCGGCCACAGCTGCTGGCCCCAGTCCCGGTGACCCCACATGTGGCGCCCCATCCTCCATGCCCATCAGATATTTCATGATATGGCTGGCATGGCTCCTTAGTGTCTTCTCCCACTCTGACATCTGGGGCTGGGGATCATCTGAGGGGCTGATCCTGTGCAGTCTCAGAATCCCCT